AACAAAATATTGAATCCAAATACTCATCTAATTAAACAATTTAAACCATAAATATTCAGAAATCTCATACAATACAAATTTCAACTTCAATTAATCCTTGAACTACACTAAACTCCAGACTTCGTTCATTGCATCGATCTCTTTAGCTCTTGCGCATAGTCTCACAAGTTGTTTTTTTTTTTTTTAATCTTTATTGTAAGAACTTTATAATAGTACTTGGGCTTTGAGTTTAATTAGGTCAAGTAGTTCACATATCTTTTCCTTAACATTGTCATGACTAAGACCTACAGACCTTTCTATTCGTATATTCTCGAACTATTCTTAGTTGTCAATTTTGTCAAATGACTCTCAAACCATCAAAATATATCAAATATGCAAAAATTTAGTAGAATACACACCAAATCAATTTAAATTATATCAAAATATCGAATGTTGATTAAATGCCCAAGAATTTGAGAGATTATAAACATATGCAAGTAAGTTTGGGAATGTATGAAATATCTTTACCATTTGGTAAATGTTGCTCCATTTCTATTATTTTACAATTTGTGGCATTTGGGCAACAACTTGTTGTATTATAAGTTCTGGAGGTTATAATGTCATTGATTTCATTATAATATTGCATTTGAATTTAAAGTAGAATTTTCTTCAAGCATCGGGGACATATCTAAAAAAGATCAAGTATAATTTTTGTCTATAATAGGTATATCATTGACCTCACATGGAACTTTTATATATATATATATATATATAAATACTTCACTAATTCTTAAACAACCAATTAAACATGTTGAATGAAATTCTTTTCATATTGAATACAATTGTACTAAATCAAGAAAATTATATTTGAATTTGAACTACACATTTTTTCTCAACTTCAGATACAAACATAACAAAGACCAAGTACAATGTTTGCTTATAGTAAATACAACATTGAACTTACATAACTATAATTTGCTCATGCCGCAGGTACAACTATTCAAACCTTAATTTTTCGATGCAAATACTTTACTAATTGTTGGATTTGAGCACATATGACAAAAGATTGATTCGATGATCATTAAGTTATTTGTTTTTATTTTTATTTTAAATATTTCTATTGTATTTATAATGCATTATTTCTTTTTTCAAAAATCAATTATTGTCTTTATATTTTATTTTAGGCAAAATATCTCATAACCCTCCGGTGGTTTCAAAACTCGGCATAATTTCTTCCTATACTTTAAAAATTGCACAATGTCCTCTTATACTAGTAAAAACATTTCATGAAACCCCTGAAACTAAAAAAAAAAACGTTGCATAAAATCTTTTTTCAAGGTTTAGGGTTTCATAAAATGTTTTTTAAAATATAAGGGAGCACCATATAATTTTTAAAGTACATGGGGAATTTACGCTAAATTTTCGAATCACAGGGAAATTATGGACAATTTTGCTTTAATTTTATCAACGAACAAATAATCACTATAATAATAAAAATAAAACACTCAAAATATATTTCAATAAATAAAATTCAAAAATAGAAATTAATTGAATGAAACTAGCCCCAAATAATATAAATACATTAAGAATTAATTTAATAAATTATTATTAAATTCAATATTAATAAAAAAATTAATATTAATTCATTATTAATTAATTATAAATTTAGTAAAAAATATATATGATTTTTAAACAATGATATATATATATAACAATGTGCAAATAATAAAAGTAAAAAAAAAAATTTGAATGAGTTTTTTTATTGTGAGTATAAAGTTACGAAGAATCTCAAAGTTAAGTTATTTGATGATAGGAAAAGTGATATGAAAACTAAAAATGAGTTAATATACACAAATATATTTATGATGCTGATGGTCTTTAGATTGGTTTGTTTATGTTTTTTACAAAATTTGTATTAATTGATTTTTCCATCTATTTAATGTACGTTTATTTGGGCTCGTCACAAATTTTTATAATATAAGTATTATATTGATTGATTGTAACGTAAAATATTGTATTTTTTAAAAGTATAAAAGTGAATTAATTAGGTGAAATTTTTTTTTATATAGATTGAATGCACGAGTATTATGACATTTTGTAAATAAATATAAATAATATAAATTAAAAAATATATGTAGATACTAAAAATATATGTCTAAAATTAATTAAATATCATATATTTTGGAAGAAAATAAAATTCTAATAAAATAAATATATGGTATTTAATTATGCACGTATGTTAATTTTTGTACAATAAATATCAACCATTAATGCAAAAATATGCTTAAAATGGAAGATATCGTACAAATATTACATGCATAAATAGAGTCATAATAAATTTGGCAGTAAAATAAATTAATCTTGTCAATAAAGGAAGTATATAAATTAATATCTTCCAAAAAAAGGCAATGATATAAAGATCTTATCAATAAATGAAGTATATAAATTAATATCTTCCAAAAAAGACAATGATATAAAGATTTTGGCGACAAAGGAAGGTGCACAATCAAATCCGTCAAAAATAGAAAACAACATCTGATGGAAAAGGAAAAATTATAAAATCTTTTCATCCACGTGGCACCATCCGAAAAGGAAGCCAAGGCCACCCATCTCCTATAAATAGGAGCCATGGCCAATTCATTTGAAACACCGAAGTTCATTTGAAGACTCGCGCAAGGGTAAGTCTCTCTACACTCTCTGCAATGTTCTTCATTGTTCTTCGTGTCCTTCGAAGCGTTCTTCGTCGAAAAGTCACCGATTTGGACAAATGATCCAATATTGGTTGGCGAATCGATGAAGTTAACGTTCTTCGTCGTATGTCCGAGCCGGAGGAAGGATCAAAGCTCTCAAAGCCATCGAGGAATCCATCAAAGCCTAGGAAGACCCTCCAAAGCCACTCTCAAAGCTTCAAGATGTTCGTCGCGTTCTTCATAAAAGGCGCAAACCAGGCCCTCTTCGATCCAAAATTCAAAGGGACACGCCGCCAAAAACATTATGGAGCACTAAATCCACCTCTTCAAGGATCAAAGTTCTCAAAGCCATTGAGGAATTCATCAAAGCCAAGGGAAGGTCTCCAAAGTTCATCCCAAAGCTTCGAGGTGTTCATCGCATTCTTCACCAAAGCAACAACTCGGCCCTCTTCGATCCAAAAGTCAAAGGGACACGCCGCCAAAAGCGTTATGGAGCACCAAATCCACCTCCTCAAAGATCAAAGCTGCGGATCGTCCAAAGAAGACATCAAATCCAAAGTTGAGGATCAAATCGCCCACACGGAGACCGAAGCTCTCCAAAAGGCGGAAAAGGCAAACTAAAGATCAAAGTTGCGGATCGTCTAAAGAAGACAACAAATCCAAAGACGATGATCAAATCGCCAATACGGAGACCAAAGTCCTCTAAAAGCGGCAAAGACAAATCAAAGCTGCAGATCGTCCAAAGAAGATATCAAATCCAAAGCTGAGGATAAAAAATCGCCCACACGAGGACCGAAACTCTCCAAAAGGCGGAAAAGGCAAACTAAAGATCAAAGTTGCGGATCGTCTAAAGAAGACAACAAATCCAAAGACGATGATCAAATCGACAACGCGGAGACCAAAGTTCTCCAAAAGCGGCAAAGCCAAAACAAATGTCAAAGTCGTGGATCGTCCAAAGAAGGCAACAAATCCAAAGACGATGATCAAATCGCCAACGCGGAGACCAAAGTCTTCCAAAAGCGGTAAAGCCAAAGCAAAGATCAAAGCCTCGGATCGTCTAAAGAAGACAACAAATCCAAAGACGATGATCAAATCGCCAACGCGGAGACCAAAGTCCTCCAAAAGCGGCAAAGCCAAAACAAATGTCAAAGTCGTGGATCGTCCGAAGAAGACAACAAATCCAAAGCCGATGATCAAATCGCTTACATGGAGACCAAAGCCCTCCAAAAGGCGGCAAAGCCAAATCAAAGATCAAAGCCTCGGATCGTCTAAAAAAGACATCAAATCCAAAGCCGACGATCAAATCGTCTGCACGGAGACCAAAGCTCTCCAAAAGCTGGCAAAGTCAAACTGAAGACCAAACCTCTTCAAATCAAAGAAGCCATCGAAAACCAAGTTGGAAAATAAATCGAACCGGAAGGAGAATCAAATGACTCATTTAGATAATAGAACCCGCTTTAAATTCAAATCAAATATAATTTGTACAAAATTTGTGTTTATTAAAAATAACACAATTTTTTGTCCACAATATATAAAAATTATTTTCTATGAACATAAATTGTATATATTTTATGAAAAAACAAAATATATATATAATTTTGTTGACAGGAGGAGTATTAAAAAAGTTAAGGTTGTGTTCTTTTGTGATTTTATCGTAAGTTTTTATTATTCAAATTCTTTTTTTTTTTTAAATATTTCATCAAATATTTATTATTATTTTTATATTATACTACAAATTTATTTTTACAATCAAAATATCATATCAACCTCTATTTATATCAAATTAAATAAATATTCAAATTCAATTTTTTATTATTCAAATATCCAAACTCAAAACCTAAAATTCACAAAAGAGTATTTCTTTTGATGATTTGAAAAAATTTTAACTTAAATTTGACATTAAAATAATGTATAATAAAATTTTGAATAAAAGAAACAAACCCTAAAACCTCTCACTCCCAGCACACACCCTTACATTTTCTCTCCCTCTGTACATTTTCTCTCCTTCGTCAGAGGGATGATAGAAAACACAGAAACCCTCAGGCAAAGAGATGAGAAAAAGAAGAACTTATGGGTGGGTGTGCCTTTTCTTCCGGTAGGTTTGAAAATTTAATACTACTAAATCCCAACGACAGTATAGTTTAAGATGCAACGGTTACAGAACCCACCACCAATCAAATGGCGAATGATTTTTTGAATTTGTGTATGGATGTGATGTGAGTGATGATAATAAAGTAGCAAAAACAAAAGCGTCTATTCTGGTTACACACATTTTTATATTGGTAATATTACAGTACAGAGTCTGTCTGTCTGTCTGTCTGGCCCCATTCTTCAAATCATTCAACACAACACTCACTCACTCTCATTATTTTATAATGAGATCACAACTCCTTCACTCTAAATTCAAATCCTCTTCCGATTCCCTTTCTTAAAATAACCTTCTTAAGAAATCAAACAAAAGACTATCCTGATTCATCAACTCCTACTACAAGTCTACAACTACTACTACTTTTCACTTCACAAACAAACTCCAGTCTCCAGGCAGGCCAGAAATTCGTTGTGCCCGCGCCCTTAATCTTGAGCTTCACTTCTACCTGCAGGATATTACTTTGAGTGTCAATGGCAGTAAGCATCCATTCTTAGCTTTTTTGTTTTTTTTTTGAAAAAAATAAGAATAAAGATCACTCCTTTGAGTGTGTGTTTAGCCTGTCTTTATGCCAGTGGGTCTCTCTCTTTGTTTCTTTATTTTATTTGTGTTGAGAAGTGGACGCATTCATTTCAGACTCGATGATCCAGTTTGGAGATTGAGTTCGTTCATACAAGTAAACTCTTCTTTTAACTTTTGGAGGTCCGGGTAGCTATGATTTATTTATTTATGCCTGTTATTTTATTTTTCTATTGTGCATGTATGGAAGAAGAAATCAGTTAGGAACCCAGCCCAACCCAATCAATGATTTAGAGCATATTCTGAAACTGTTCTGAGTTAGTTGTTGAATGGTTCAGATTGGGTACATTTTGAGTGTGTAATCCATCATCTGATCTGATCTGATCTGATATGTTTGGGGAATGCAAAAAATGTAGGGTTCAATGCAGTTGAACAGAAGAGATCTGGGAATGGTGATGAGGGAAGTCGATGAAGATCTTGCCATTTTCTTGGGGATGCGGAGGAATGACCACATTATTCACACTCACACTCAGACTGAGATTAAGACTGGCCACGACCAGGAGGAGTACATTAATCATAATAATAATAATAATGATAATTATGGTGATGAAAATGGTGTGTTCATTGTTCATAGCTTTTGTATGTAATCTAATCTGATTTATTTATTTAAACCAAACTTACAAGATTCTCCTGGAAATTTTTGCTTCATTGGTTGACGACAGCAAGCAACATAAACATGATCAAGTGCTGTGCTGCTGCTTTATGAATTTATGAATTTTGTTTTATTATATGAAAGGTAATGTAATGTAATGTAATGTAGGTTCAAAACACAATGGAGTAGTGATCCGAAAAGCCTCTGAGGCGGCGACTCCAACCCCAACCCCAACCCCAGGACCCACTGATATTACTACTGCTGCTGTTCTATTGAATCATCACCGGCAAAACATGATATCAAATGGTGGTGGTTGTGGCGGTGGTGGAGGTGATGGCAGCAACAGCATTCCTCTTCCTCTGGAACACAAGGTAAGTTAAGTTAAGTTAATTAGATCATGTGGCGTTGGTGTCTGTATATTGATTTAACGTTTAGTTTGTGTGGGTGTGGGTGTGGGTGTGTGCAGTTAGATGATGAATCTGGTGGGCAGAGGCAGAGGAAGCAGGTTGAGGATGAGCAACAGCAACTAACACCAATATCTCAGATAAGGCCTTCTCCATCAGAGCTGTGTAATTCTACTCCTACTCCTACTCTTGGTAGTAGAAGAGGTAGAGCAGCAACTCCTACTCCTACTACTACTACTACTACTATTAGTAAATCAAAGCCTGCTTCAACACCAACAGTAGTAGTGGTTGCAGCAAGGGCTTCCATTGAAGCAAGATCGAGATCAAGATCGAGATCCAGCACTCCACACTCATCATCTATCAACTCTTCTTTAACCACCATCTCTGCTTCACATCAATCTTCATCTTCAGGGGGAAAACCACCAGCTGCAGCAGCAATGTCAATGTCAAAATATCCAGCCTCCTCCTCCCGTGGGACTGCTCCCACTGTTGTTGTCGTCAAGTCCAGGCCCTCAGAGTCAGTGCTATGTCACAGTGGTGCTCAAAATCTCAAACCATCTGTGGCTAAAAGGCCTGCTTCGGCATCTAGAGCAAGAAGGCCAACTGCTGCTGCAACTTCACAGGCTCATTCAAGACGTGAAAAGTCATGTTCCCCTGCCAAATCACGAGCCACAGTTCACAAGATGCCATCAAGATGCCGCCGAGATGATGATGATGATGAAGTAAACCCTGTGTTGATGGGCACAAAAATGGTGAACCGGGTGGTAAACATGAGGAAATTGGCTCCGCCGCCCAAACAAGAATTAGGTGAATACATTTCTCACCACAATCATAGAAGAAAGCCTTCCTACTCATCATTAGGCTTCGGGAGATCCCTCTCACAAAGTTCGCTAGACATGGCTATAAGGCATATGGTACCTACCATACCTGATACCACCATTGCTTTAAACATATAGTAACTAGTATTTCTGAGCTATGATGGATTGATCGATGATCCCTCCATACCTGCCCTGCCCAATTGAATTATCTATCATCTCGCTGATGCTGACGGATTGGTTGGGCAGGATATTGGACGAAGCTGCATTGGTGATAATCTAGGTGGTGGCAATGGCATCCGAACAGGTTCCTCAAAAAGTGGTTCAGAGTCTCCCCCATCATCATCATCAGCAGCAAGCTGTGATAGTTCCAAGTCTTCCAGCATATATTTGCAACAAATCCCACTCCCATTTTCTCAATGGGACTGATATTCTTCTGTGTGTATGTATGTTAGCAGCAGGTATGGAAGATGACGGATGACGCGCTATGGGCTCTGCTCTATTGGGGATGTTTATTGCACATGGACATGTTATTTTTGTTATGATCATTTGCAATATTATTAGTATTATTATGATATTATGACAACTGAGAGTACTTGGCATATCTTATCTTGCTTTTATAGATATAGATTAGCACATGAAATGGCACGGTGTGCATGTGATGATGTATGTTAGTTAGTAAGTTAGTTAAAACCAAGTGTGTGTGTGTGTGTGTGAGAGAGAGAGAGAGAGAGAGAGAGAGAGAGAGAGAGAGATTCTTGAGATTCTTTGGATATGCTGTTTGAAATTTGGATTGCAATTTCTGCTATGATGTATTAAATTAATATCCAACAACTGATCTGATACGATGAAAGTCCCTCTGCTAGGCTTGTTGGAAGGCTTAAAAAGGTGAATTCTACTGCCTATTTAAAAAATTCTCCGAGTTAGTCTCACATAACAAGGATTTACAAACGAAAATCGACACACATAATAATGTAATAAAAATGATAAAAATTGAAAGAAAACAACAAAACATAAAAGAACGCACATATGTATGACACTAATTAGACTGAAATTGGTAAGAAAATCCAACTAATAAAATTGAAAATAACATAATCAAGATATCAAAATAAAAAATCCTATGGGAGTGAACTGTGTCACCTTATAAAAAAAAAATAATAATAATTATTTGTAACTTTCATCATAAAATACATTTAAAAACTGTCTTTGTTTGTAACTTCCATCTTCATAGCTCAAAAAAAAAAGAATCTCAATCATATTATTCCCCTCATCATGCCTCATTAAGAAGGCTCTTAGTGATGAACCTTATTGTGAATGAATAAATATTTTTACTCCAAAATATTTTTAGTATTAGATCATTCCTTCATTTTCATCAGATTTTCCTCCAATTTTTTTTTTTCTTTTTCGTTTTAACTGGACTTCAACTTATTTTATTTTTTTCACTAAAAAATATTTCACATATATACTTACTTTTAAACAATTACACATACGTATTATTTATTTACGTATTAACCTCAAATTTTTTTTTCCAATAAATTCAAATTATAGCATATCCAAAAATTTTTAAAATAATAATATATTATTTAATTTGATTATTTTTATGTGAAGAAGTTATGATTTAAATCATAATATTCATATCTTGATGGGCTTAATAATTTGAATCCTCCAACAACATCAACCAAGCCTTAATGCTTTTTTTGTTGGATCATATAGGCTATTTCGTTAGAGTTTCACGACTAAGCCCATCTTATGAAGGCTTCTTCTGGAATTCGAAAAGAAGTCTCATCCAAATGGCATCCTCCCATTTAAAAGTGTTTAGTCTTCTTCTTGACTCATGGGGCCAAGCTTTCCTTAAGGCTTTGCGATGAGCTAGTGGGTATGGTATACGATCGAAGAGCAGTGTGTGTGAAGTACACTGTTCTGTTCTGCGCATACAACATAGTATTATGAGTTTATTTTAAACAATATATAATTCATGTTACGTATGACAAGCTTGTTGCATTGCATTCAGCCAGAATTTGTGACTAGTGACTATGAAATATGAATATAATAATAATAATAATAATAAACTGGACTCTAATTCAGTGATTAGGTTTGGTTTGGTTTGGGTGGTGGTTGAAAGTGAGGTGCCCGTGCCCTTGCCCTGCCTGCCCAACAGAAGAGAAGAGAAGATAAGAGAGTCTGTTAGGCTCGGCAGTGTCTGCTACTGCTACTCACTCAAGTCAAAACTCTTCTCCCCACGCCACTAGTAACGCTATACTGATAATTATACTATACTATACTATACTACAAATGATATTTATTGATCAATATCTTCATGAATAAATGGATGGATCGATGATGATGATACGATGCATGTTCCTGTCCTGTTTCCTATTGTTTCCTATCCAGAGATACAAATGATGTCAACTCAAGTGAAGGGCACCACTCTACTCATACAATACTAATAGGCAGTAAATAATACAAATGACTCCCATATTGTTCATGTCCATGTCCTAATAAATACCCACATGCAACAAAGTGGGCATCTCGCTCTACCACGTACATTACATTACATTACATTACACCTATTCATTCATTCATGTACATCAACAACAACAACAACAACGTCTCCCCTTGTTACTATTTGGCATGGAGCCAACATCCATCCATACAAACAAACAAACATTTACTTTCTTCTATTGTAATCCTAAAGTAGAAAGCAATTTCAGGAGAGTTCGTTTACCCCATTGCACATCCCTTTCCACGATCATGATGATATTCGCCTCCTCTTTTTCATATGTTTCTTGCTCAGTAGCATTACCATTAGCATGCCCCGGTGGTGGTGGTGGTGGAGGATTCGGATATGGAGATGCAGATGCAGATGCATAATCATATTCCAACTGTTTAACATCATCAGTAAGCAGTTCACAATCAGAAACAAATCATCGCAGCAACAATGCAAAATTCAAAGTTTTGATAAACGCCAGAGGGAGGCACAATCAATCTCGGATTCAAGAATAGCCCCGCAATGTTGTTTACTTGCACTAATTAATGATATTCACCATGATGTCCTTCCCTGTATGTAATTAGTCTCTCTCTCTCTCTCTGTCTCTCTCTCTCTCTCTCTATATATATATATGTATATCTTGATTGATAGAGACTTTGTAGTTTACCAGTTTAGGGTAGAAAGAAAGTCAGAGGCTATACAATTTGAATAAATGAATGAATACCCAAAACGATCAGAAACTCAAGAAAACTTCATTACTGGAGCAAGCTGAAGGCAATAATAATACATAGGAAATTCAGTTATTAGCTGCATATGCATATGCATAGCCTATTGTGATGCCTTACTGACTGAGTGTGAGTGAGTGAGTGAATGAGTGAGTGCTGCTAAATTAGAAGAATCATCATCATCATCTTCATCATGATTACCATAATCATCCTACTACAGCAGTGCAAAAACACTTTCATCTCAGCTAATTATTGCTATGATTATTTCAGGTCTCTTTTTCCGTTTTCAGTACTGATGGAAGAATGACCGACCGACCGACTGACTGACTAAGTATGCGATGAGGCAATTACCTTCTCGGTCATGACCCCAATCTCAGTTGCAGCATTGTCAAGAATGCTATTATTCTCCGCCTGGGCAATTTCTGGTTCTGCAATCTCCCCTTGGTCTTCTCCTCTGGTGGCGCTCAACCCCGGTACCAGAACCGGAACCTCTTCACTTGCTACAACTACTCTTTTCCCATCTGAGCACACCAATTCCTTTCCAGCGCTTGCGGCCGCACCATTGTTTTCAGGAGTTAGATTCACTGTAGTTTGAGCATTCTCTTTGTCACTTGAAGAGCTGAAGTTGGTGGTGATGTTGTTGTCTGTAATCACAGGCAGTGCAAGAGGCTCTTCTTCTTCAGGAATTGCAACACCATTACCTTCCTCAGTGGAGCCTTGATCCATTGGCGATGTAATCTTGGGCTCAGTAACAACCAAGTGATTTGAGTCGGGATCAGATGCCAAATCCTCTTCAGCAATGTTCTGATATTCAGGGTTAAGCCAATCTTCATAAACAGAGATTTTCTTTGTAGACCTCCACGTTCTAAAAGTACGATCCGGACCTGGCTGCCAAGATGTGACTCCAGGGCCCTTGAGCACGAACTTGAACTTGATCAATTTGCTGGCTGGCAGATCCTGTTAGTTGAGTTAATAAGATGGAAAGAATGTTAATACAGTTTGTTCTTGTTCTTGTTCTGTCCTTAACTTGTTTGTTACTTACCACTTCTGCAGTCCACAAATGGCCCATATGCCAAGTTAAGGGCAGCCCCGCAGACGCATCCCATGCTCCCAAAGCCTCATCTTCCCCTACAACCAGAAATTGCTGTCCAAATATACATTCCCTCACCAACTTAAACTTAACTCGGACGATGTTGGTATTGGTATTGGTATTGCTCACCCCTCCACCTTAAACACATCACAAAACACACATATAATTACCCTCCTGAATACTGGACAAAACCCATTTACATGGAAAAGAGAAAATAATTATTATTAAGTAACTACCAGGGGTCATACTCATAGCCTGGGTTGCGTTACATTCGTCAGCATTTGCCTGCAAAATCAAATGGGTAATCATGACACAACAAACACAGGTACGTAAATAATTGTTTAAGCCAAGGGGACAGGAATTCGAACCTGAGCAGAGGCGGAAATGGGAATGGGAGATATGGATTTGTTGTTGTTGTTGAAGGAGAGAGCGAGACAGAAGCCGTATCCGAGGCGCCTCTGGTTCTGATCGCGGCGTTGAAGAGGAGCAAAAAAAGCTTGGCTGCCCAGCTGAGCAATTCGTGGCAGTCGCTGATGGTGGTTACATGGCAACAAGTCCAAGGACGGGGTGGCGGTGGTGAGGGCCTTCATCGCGGCGGGCGGAGGGAGGGACGAGTGATGAATTCCCAATGGAGGATCAACGGAACGCCGATTGCTGATTGATGGGCCTTAAGAATTGCAGACAAGTGGCGAGGCGAGGATTCATTACCCACTGTGGATGCAATTTATAGGCTTAGGGGACAGACTCAGTCGGCTCCACGATCCTCAATCTCAGAAACAAGTCTCACTCGCACTCGCACTCGCACTCGCACACACCACACTTTTACCTCTCCGTCCCTCCCTCCCTCCCCCCCCGTTGTTGAATCAGTCTGTCAGTTAGTCGAGTCGTCAGCAGAATAACGCTCTCCACCTCACGCCAACTCCAACCACAAGTACAATTACTAATATCATAATAATAATAATAATAATAATAATAATAATATATTCACAATTAATTACTAGTACAAATACAATTCATCGTGATGAATTTCGCTTGACTGGACTGGGCTGGGCTGGGCTGGGCTGTTCTATCCCTACTTTAACCTCTGCTCAGACCATATTCACTATAATTATAATAAATTTAATTTTGTGGTTGGACTCGATCCTAAACCTTAATAGGGGCTCATCCGAGCCCATTCATAAAAAATCACCTGACAACTCCTGAAGTTAATCCCGTTTCTATACACTAATATTTTATAAATATTCTAGTCTATTCTGATCAGCCTAACTTACAAAAGGGTTTTTATTTTATTATTCTTATCTCAGGTGAACCGGGCTTGGGCCAACTCAGGGCTGCTTCGCTGACTTGACAACAATAATAATACAAACCAACTCCAAAAAATCTTAAGGTGAACTGAAAACGGCTATATCACACATGCATATGAACTTGACGCTCCTAAAATCTTTTACCATCATATATCCTTTATTTTTAGTTTACAATACATTTATCTATGTTATATATTAAAACATTTTAGGATTTTTTTGGATCTATAACTGGATTCTAACGTTTGGGCTCACAGACAAACCCAAAAAAAAAGTAGGCCTTTAAACGTCCACTGAAGAAACGGGTCGGTTGATCAGTAGCATGGTCTGTCGGCCGATCAGTCGTCCGATTGGTCGATTGGTCAGTCGCTTGATTAATCGGTTGATCAGTCGCTTGATTGGTCAGTTGATCAGTCGCTTGATTGGTCGGGTAATCAGTTGTTTGGTCTGGTCGGTTGGTCAGTCGCATGGTTGGTCGGTTGATCAGTCGTTTGATTGGTCGGTTGATCAGTCGCTTGGTTGGCAGCACGAAGCATAACCGAAGACGGTTCTTCAGGCGGTTGCAACCACGAGGGGGTTTTTCCGTCAGTTACAACCGACTGCACACACGATCCAATAACTTATTTAGAGAACATATAACAAGCAATTCGCATTCGGCAGAGGGTATCTTTAATCAGCATCAATTTCAGTGAAAATTCGCTTTGGGGATCATCTTTATGTTCTTTTCAGTATTAGTTTGCTTTTATTTTTCTTACATTTCGTACGATATTTAGGAATCTTCGATTCCAAATATTATTGCAGTCAAATTCGAATTTATTTCGGATTTTACTTTTTATTGTTGGTTGAAAATAGCATCAACAATTTGGCGACCACAATGGGAGAAAAGACAAGATTGTTGATCCTATGTCAGATGAAAATTTCATACGGTTGAGGTCCGGCCGAATCATCGGAAGAATCCATATGGCAGGTTCACAGTCTCAAGTCTCTTCCACCACGGTGGGAGAAACAACATTACCTTCCGTGGTTAACACGGGGGTATTTTCCCAAACACTCGCTAACTGGGTGACATATGTTCAGCAATTGAACAATCAACAGACGCAGGCCATGCAGGCAATGTTGCGAGAGCAATAAAAATTAATGCAGAATATGTTGAATCAAACATTGGTAAGGGTGACTCTTCAACCCACCCAAACACCACCAGCAGCGTCACAATCTAGGTTACAGAAGAATTTTGCTGGGCCATCTTACGTGGACAGTACTATCCCAAGTGCTGCTGCTAGGGGGGATAGAGGGAAAATGCCCCTGACGTACCCAAACACAATCCCGCTGGGTGTTAGGGGAATTGATCAAGTAATGTTTGATGAGAGGTTGGGAGGTCAGGTTCACAACCCCATTCTGGTGTTTGATCATTATCCACCCAAAATGGATCCAGAAGACATCGCCCAAGTACTACGAGTGCATTTTGGCATGAACCCTCAAACGGTGAATAGGCAATGTATCAAAGACCTTTTCCAGAGAGAATTATCAATGAACACCCTCTCATGAGAAATTATAGGCCGCCGGATTTCCATGCTTCTCGGGAGAAGATGGTTCATCAACCATAGAGCATGTGGGTCGTTTCACGGCCCAATTGAGGGAAATCGGTAACAATCATTTTTATAAGTTACAATTTTTTGGGTTGTCCGTAACTAGAACAACACTTTATTGGTTCGCTAACCTTCCGGCCGGACAAATCCAAACCTGGGAGGGTTTGGAAGCAGCATTTCATACTAGATTCTTTAATCCTCTTCCGATGGTATCACTCACGGATTTGCTAGAAATCAAGCAAATGCCAGAAGAAATAGCGTATCAGTTCATCGAACAAATCCGTTTGATGAAAGGTCGGTGTCCGACTGTGATTGAAGAAAGCGAGTTGATCAATTTGGTGGTCCAAAATATGCATTCACGGCTACGGGAAGCTTTAACAGCACATGATGTTGGGGATTTAGCCAGTTTGGCGGCTAAAGTTGGCCGTTTGGAATCGTTGTTCAGGGAGAAGGATCAGAATTACCGGCGACATAAAGCGCAGAAAATGGCCAGTGTGGAAACGGAAGTCTATTTATCAGATGTCGAACAGGCCAGGAACGCGGAGGAGATGACAGCTGAGATTGTACATGGAAAACCATATGTATGTTCCAATTTGAAACCGATTCCGGGGACTGAAGGGAAGGATCAACCTACCTTCGATGCATCTAAAGCAGATAAGATATTTGACATTCTCTTGGCCGATGGACAAATTCGAATCCCGAAGGGAAAACGTTTGTTCGTCTTTCACAGGACCATTGGAGGGAAGACGATGAAGACACAAAGAGAAGGGAACGGAAGCCCAAGGAGAGGGTGGAAGAGTTGGTAGATAAGTTCAAAGTGTGCGAGGGTCGGGTTGCAGAGAAATGGGATAAGGTGGATGGCACTTTTGAAGTCGAAGTAAAGGATCAGGCAGTGGTTCGCGATCAACAGACCCGCAAACCTAGGCAAGTGCATGAAGGATGGAATAGGAATCGGAAGCCACTTCAGATTGATATAGATCCGTGGTTTCCAGGTATGAATTGGACTCAAATTCGTAATGCCAAAAGTAGGTATGCTTCTAGACACGGGAAACAATCGTGGAAGGGACGACTAAAACCACCAGAAAGGTCACCCGAACGAAGAAGTCAAGAAGGCTATCTACTCAGGCAGAGAGAGGAAGAGCGGCCAATTAAGAAGGCTCAGTGTTTTCATTGTCGATTCTGTAGACGAATTAATATTGATCCGGTGATGGAAGAAGTTAAGAGGAAACATCTAACGTGGTTTTTGGATCATTTTCTCAAGATGACATGAAAGGATTACGCAAAGGGATCCGAAATACGGGAGGAATAGATAGTACGCCATTTCAAGTTGGGATGACTGGCATGCGTCGGTTCGAAGAGGAAGAATGGGCAAGTTTGAGCGATGGTTATATGGAAGAACCAGAATAGGCACAAATAGCGATTGGTCCCAATCTGGTGCCAGAATTACCCCCGCCAATGATCTTCCGGCCTTTGCCCGAAGGTGCGATTCCTCATTTAAAGCCATTATATGTAAGTGCTCATATTTTTGGAAAGCCGGTTAATAAGGTTTTTATTGATAATGGAGCTGTTTTTAACGTCATGCCTCTAAGAACCCTCAAGAGGCTTGGAAAAGGAGTTGGAGATCTATCTCCAGTAGACATTGAGATGACCAGTTTCACAGGACAACCGACCAAACCAGAAGGCATGTTGGTCACTCCTATTGAGGTGGGGGCGAAGGTAATTTCTACAGTGTTCTTTATGGTGGATGCAAAGACTACTTATTCAACATTGCTAGGAAGGGACTAGATTCACGCTTCCAAATGTGTTCCCTCGTCACTCCATCAGCAAATAATGTTCTGGGAAAGAGATCAGGTCTACAAGTTGGATGCAAGCAAAAACCCTTTTGATGCCTCGGAAAGTGTGGAAGAATCAGTGTTGTATTTTGAGTATGTCCCCCCATCTCTCAAACAGCATTGTTTGATCAGGAAAAACTATGGAAGAGTTGCAAGCTTACCACTCAAGGTTATGTGTTTCAATAAGAAACACTCGTCGTGTTTTAGTGGCTCTGACGTTAGCCAGACTTCTAAAATTTTATTATTACTTTTATTGGAGAACTCAATACGTGTGATGTTTTAATTAAAAATTTTTATTTAAACCAAATAATGGTTAAATTATGTAGCGATGGGGGTTGGGATAATTGTGTTACCGAAGGCGAAGGTTTTCGTTGGTCAGATCTTCTGGAAAAAACAGAATCTTCCCTGTCTTCACAAGACCCCATATTGAATACAACCTAGGAACCGACCAGGTACCTAGAGTGGTTCGGGTAAGTGGCTTATTATCTAAAGAACAGTAGGAATAGATGATAGTGCTAATACGGAGGAATATGAAATGTATGGCATAAGATTATTCAGAAATTCCCGGGTTAGCGCGGAGGTTGATTGAGCATCGGTTGCCCATAAAAAATGGTCCTAGGCCATACAAGCAACCACCCAGGAGAATCAGTCCTGAACTGCTCCCTCAAATCAAAGATGAGATCGAGAAGTTATTAAAAGCAGGCTTCATCCGACCCTGTCGGTACGCAAAATGGTTGGAAAATATAGTTCATGTAACCAAAAAGAATGGGAAGATCAGGATATGCATCAATTTTAGAGATCTTAATTTGGCAACTCCTAAAGACGAGTATGTCATGCTCGTGGCAGACATGTTGATCGATTCGGCTGCCGGATATAGGATTTTAAGTTTGGTGGTTGGATATGCTGGGTATAATCAGATTTTTCTGGCAGAGGAAGATATTCCAAAGACCGCGTTCAGATGCCCAAGGGCATTGGGAATTTACGAATGGACGGTGATGCCTTTTGGGTTGAAAAACGCAGGGGCTACATATCAGCGAGCTATGAAAACCATTTTCTATAATCTTATTAGACAGTCAATTGAGGTATATATTGATGACGTGATAGTGAAATCGGCCGACTTTAGCAGACACTTGGGTGACCTCGAGAATGCCTTTGCTCGGATGAAGAGGTACAACCTCAAGATGAATCCAACTAAGTGTGCGTTCGGGGTATCAATTGAGAATTTTTTAGGTTTTCTGGTGCACGAAAAGGAAATAGAAGTGGATGCCAACAAGGCCAAAGCAGTCCGGGCAGTTCGGCCGCCTTGAACCATCAAGGAGGTTCAAAGTTTCTTGGGAAAGGTAAATTATTTGAGGCGGTTTATATCAAATGATGTAGGGAAACTAAGACCCATTACCAAGCTGTTAAAAAAAAAATAGCCGCTTTGGTTTGGGGTTCTGAGCAACAAGAAGCATTTGAAGCGATCAAGCAAGCGCTAACAGAACCCCTTATATTGGTTCCTCCAAAAGGTAACCGACCTTTAAGATTATATGTGGCAATTAATTTGGATGTGGTGAGTAGTATCCTAGTTCAAGAATGGGATGATGGAAAAGAGAGGACTATTTACTATTTGAGTAAGACCTTGGTAGGGCCTGAATTAAATTATACCATGCCAGAAAAAATGTGTTATTTTCTGGTGTTCGCTTGTACTCAATTGGAGCATTATATCCTGCCAAGGGAAACTGAAATGGTCTCCAAGGTGGATTTGGTTAAGTTGCTCTTGCACAGGCCTACAATGCAAGGGAGATTGATGAAATGGGCTATCAAGTTGGTCCATTTTTCTTTAAAATACAGACCTCTCAAAGTAGTGAAAGATCAAGTGGTGGCTAACCTATTGGCAGAATTTACTAAAGGTGAGTCCGAGGCCGAGGAGAATGAACTAATGCCTTATATAGGAATTAACCCCTGGAAAATGTTTTTCGATGGATCTCGGGAAAATAGAAGATCAGGGGCAGGAGTAATTCTGAAAGGGCCTGACACACAAAGATTCTGCTACAGCTGCAGATGGAGGAAGTAACCCACAATTCGGCTGAGTACGAGGCATTGATTTTGGGGCTAGAGATGCTTATGGCAAAAAACGTTCAGTCGGTCATCATTTACGGAGATTCACAATTGATCATCAACCAAGTCTTGAGGTGGTACATATGCAATTACCCCCATTTACGTCAATACAGAGACGTAGTGCACCATCTATTGTCTAGAATTGCAGAAGTAACCGTCAAGCATATCCCAAGAGCAAAAAATCAGCAGGCAGACAGTCTGGCCTAGGCTTCATGCAGGCAGATTGATATTGAAAATATTAATATTTCTACAGACTAAAGAACCGAGATTATTGTTTATCTGCAAGCACCAGACCCATCGACACCTGTGGGGGTCCGGTTAAAAGCTTTGCGTTTTCAGTTAGTGGAGGGAGTGTTATATAAGAGAACCATAGATGAGGTTTTGCTGAGATGTTTGGGTCCGAAGGAAGCCTTGTAGGTGATGCAGGAGGTTCATAGTGGAATATGTGGAGCACATCGAGCAGGTCTTAAGATGAGATGGGCTATTCATCGCATGGGTTTTTACTGGCTGAAAATATTTGAGGATTGCATCAAATTTGCAAGGGGATGCCAAGAATGTCAGAGACATGGTCCATTGAACCATCTTCCGTCGGTGAAGTTGCAGGCAATGGTAAAACCATGGCCTTTTAAAGCCTGGGCACTTGATGTTATTGGTAAAATCCATCCGTCTTTATCTAAACATCATTCATTTATTTTGGTGGCTACCGATTATTTTACCAAATGGGTCGAAGCAATTCCTTTGAAGAATGTGACGCAAAAGAAAGTGATTGAGTTCGTGCTCAATCATATCATTTACCGGTTTGGCATTCCGCATACTCTCATCACTGATCAGGGTCTGGTGTTCAAAGGCGAGAAGTTTATTGAATTTTTGGCAAGTTTTCACGTGAAACTTCACCATTCATCACCTTACTATCCACAGGCCAACGGGCAGGCTGAGGCAGCAAACAAGATCATTATTAATATCATTCGGAAAATGATAGAAGAAAATCCTAAGAAGTGGCATACGTTGTTGCCCCAAGCTTTATGGGCCCATCGGAACAGTAAGAGTTCGTCCACAGGATTTTCTCCTTATCAGCTCATGTTTAGCCAAGATGCTGTACTTCCAGCCGAACTCAACATCCACACCTTCCAAACTTTTTCGGAAGGAAATCTAGCACGGAAGACAATATTACCCAGGTACAAGAAAGTTGACCAGATGGGTAAATGGTCCCCGAATTGGGAGGGGTCTTTCATCATTCACAGAAAGATCAGGAACGGAGTTTTTACTATTGTGAATCAGGAAGAAAAATTAGTACATGAAAATATTAATTCCAAGTAACTGAAAAGGTATTTTCCTGCCTTTTCAGAACACTATCATTAATTTTATTGCAAGAAATCTAAGAACCCTTTAAGGGTAGTGAGCACCATCATCATCAATAGAGAAGGGGAGGGATCGGATCGGATCGGACCGGACTTGGAATGTGTATAGATATCATATATGTATGTACGCATGTATGAATGTATGTATTACATTACAAACACAACACAACCCTATGAGGCTATGAAAATACAACACAACACAAGGCAAGACAAGATATGGGGAAGGGGAAAGATGAAGGAGATGGACGGATCTAGTTAGGTGAATGAAGTAATTAATAATAATGTGATGAATGAGTGAATGATCAGCGATGGGAGGCATTAGGAGGAGGAGGAGGAGGGTGGCACTGGTAGCACTTTGCAAAGAGGCCAAATGTATCAATCTGTTTAACAAAATTGGTGATGCTGGCCCATCCTCCCAACCCGAAACCCACCACCAGTATCCACACCACTATCAACGTATTCACCACTAACATCGCTGTCCAGCTACTCCCGACCAACGCCGGTGGCTTCTCCACCGCGCCCTGCAGTTCCATTCAATTCAAATTGAATTCAATTACTACAAGGCCTACTGGCTGACTGACTGGGTGGGTATGGGGCATAATGCAGATACAGATAGAGATAGAGACCGGATCGGAGCGGAGCATATATATATATATATATATATATGAATATGTACCTGTCTGGCGGAGGCCTTTCTGTAAGTGAGCATATGGGCAAGGGCCGGGATGATGTAGACGGTGAAGCTGACCAAAAGCGCTCCCACCGCAGAATTGATAGGGCCAAAGAAGGGGAATATGATGGCCAAGAACCATATCGGTACCACTATTGGTAGCCTCGCCACCGCCCTCAAGCATATGCTTCTAGTCTCGTGCACTCCGATCACCTTCTCCCACACAAAGTACAGAGGAGTGCAAGCAAATCCGAACGTGATAAACTGCATTAATGAATTATATTCTCTTATCATATTGTATCCAAATTAACACTAGTATAATATAATAAACAAATTCAATTGAAAATAGGATCGGACCTGGTGGATGAGCATAAGTATGACCGCAGCATCCCGCCAGCCGGAGCGCGGGAGCAGGGAAAATGCGTTGGAGTGGTTGAGCAGCTGATCGCCAAAGGCCCAGTACATGGCTGTGGCCGACGGGATCGTCAACGTGAAAACATACACTGTTGCATACAAATAGATGTACTTGAACTTCTGGGGTTTCCACATCGCATGCATGATCTCACTGTCCTTAATAATTCATTCATTATTTTATCAATTAAAGGAACAATATTGAAATACTAAAATATGCATGATTGTCGGGTCCAAACTCCCTTAGGATATGGACAAAATAATAATAATAATAATGATAATAATAATTCATTAAAGTGTCAATGATATATATATATATCCATGAAGAGAGATGACACACACAGAGATACAATACATATATAAATAAAATGATTTATTCTTCTAGCTTCTCTTTATTCTTCCTCTCATTATATATATAGTTGTCAATTATAGTATTTATTAGTGTCCTTTCAGAACCAGAAATGTGGTGGTGGTGCAATTATATCATTAAGACATGAGAGGACCGGACCACCGGACTGACTGCTACTATTACTATATATAACGACTCTGACGGAGGAATAAATGAGCGCGCAAATACAGACATATATATATATATATGATTTATCGAAATTGGTTGGAGTGTGAGTTCTTCACTATGCTTGGTGTGAAGTAGTAACTTTAATTTTCCCTTAGCTTTATTGGTAAACAAACCAAACCAGAATTAAATTAATTAAGCATGGCATATATAGGTGATGGAGCCTGCCGGCAAAGGCTGCAAGTAGAATAGAAGCCTGGACTGGATCGAAACAAACAAAGTACTAAAGCGGGAGGGGGACACGAGAAGAAGATTACTAACATAGTATCGTATAGTATAGGATTAATTAGTATAGTTGTGCACACGACAGCCGTGGATAATCATAATAATAATAATAATAATAATAATACTGTGATACTAGTATATTCTAAAGTGTCCAGGAAGAAGAGATAGAAGATGATAATAGGTAATTAATAAAGAAGAAGGAAGATTGATGGAAGAATTGATAAGAAATGAATGAAAAAAGAAAGAAAACGCAAATCAAGCAGGCAGCAGGGTTAGGCTTACACAGTGACAGCATGTCCCCCGAATGTGTAGAGTATGTTAGTGGCTCCGGTGAAGTACAAGACTAGCTTTTTTGGCCCGGAGTGCTGCACACCTTCCACCTGAGAGAGGGAGAGAGAGAGAGAGAGAGAATGCATGAATTGAATTAGGTAGGTAGGTAGGTAGGTAATAGCAATAGCAATAGCAATAGCAATAGCAATAGTAGCATGCATACCTGGCCATGAAGAAGGGCTCCTATGGTCAAGTACCAGGCGGTGTAAGTAGTCATCCCGAGTCCCAGAAAGGACCATATCCGGTAATTGTGGAAGGAGGGAATGAAAACAGTGGTGGCACAGCAAGCGCCAAATATGTAAGTCCATGTCCTCTTGTCCAGGTGGTCATTTATGTAGTATATGTTGCTGATCACATCCATCCATCATTATCATACAATACAACAATAAGGGAAGGGAAGGGAAGGATGCAATTATACATACATCCTCATCCTCATCCTCATCCTGGTATTAATACATTAATTAATTAATTTACAAGAGTCATTCATTTATACGTACTGTACGTACCTTGCACAGGCTATGAGTTGGATGACGGATCCAAATAGAAGGAAGGTGCAGTTGAAGGCCAGGCCAGCGGCTTTCCAGTACGGACCCAGCAATCCATCCAGCACTTCGAACCACTGAAATGCATGCATGCACCATTATTACTATATAATATTCCATGATGATGATATATATGCATCAGTAGTTATTTAATTAGTTACTACTACTAGTGAGCTGTGAGCTGAGAGAGAGAGAGAGAGAGAGAGAGAGACTGGCCTGAATGACATGGTTCTTGAAACTAACACCTTGTTTCTCCTTTCTGGTGCGATATTCCACGTATAGAACACTGATAAGGTACGCCGTCCAGCTACCAACCAGACCATACAACACTTGGAATACTATTCCAGATACCATTCCAAGTTGAGAGAATGAGTAGGGAAGTGTCAACAGCACTTGCGCAACCTGCAGTGCAGTATATCCATATTTATATATATACACATACATACAGACACACCATAACCATATACATATCATATAGACTTACTTGATTGGAAGCGCAACTGAACCAGGCATCCCAGGCCGAGCCGCCGTGCCAGAGGATGCTTTTCATGCTGAAAATGTGTTGCTCTTCCGCATCCGCCTTGCCGCCGCGGCCATCATCATCATCTTCATTCTCATTCTCATTTTCATGGCTGGAAACAATTGCTTCCTCTGCTTGCTTCTGGCCCAACATTATACTTATTATATGGTATTGCCTTGGTTCTGCTTCGATTTTCTCATAAGGAATTTCAACAGATCTGAAAAAAGAGGACGCTTAACTTAATAAGACAAAGACCAAAAATGACCCAAGGAAGGAAAGACTCCCCCAACCTCCAAGAAAATGAAAGCCTAGAAGAAAATTTCCGAGATCCAATCGGCGAGATCAAAACTATATAAATAAAATAGGAAATCAATTCACAAGAAAAGGGCAGGGCGGAAACAAGAATATAATCCTAACTCTCACTTTCTCAACACTGAAATGAATTTCATTCATACCCTTGCTGCTGCTCTGACTCCGACGAGTCTTTTTCTTAACACAGATGCATCTCTCAGAGAAGAGAACAACAACAACAACAACTATGTGTATACGTATATGTATGTATGTATGTATGTATGTATGCAATTCTATCAGGAAAGCATTATCTCGATTGCCCCCAGTCCAGACATCCTTGCCGACCTGACCCCCTCACCTCAATTGTTCCATCCAAAATGAGAGAGAGAGAGAGAGAGAGAGAGAGAGAGAGAGAGATCAATGAAATTATTGATTGCAAAAAGCAGAGTAAGAAAGAAAGGCAGGCAGGCAGGCTTCTATATAATGATTATATATAATTACTCCACACAACACAAACACAGGTAGCGCCCAAGAGAAAGAGAAAAAAGAGGGACAGTTTTAAGAATCCTTCGCATGGCACTGGAAGACACAAGACACACACCGATATAGAGAAAGAGAGAGGGAGGACCTACAACAATTAATGGCAGGTCAGCCCCGAATTATTGGCCTGGCTGACTCAGTACGTCCACCTAGCTTCCATATCAGCGTACCGCACAGCCATCGGTATACGCATAGCCATAGAAGCAGCAGCCTCCCTCCAAACTAAATGCCAATCTTGCGGCGAGAGAGAATGACCTCAAAAGCACCGCAGCGAGAGCGAGAGAGAACCAGAGGTTGGGCTACAAACAAACACACACACACACCCCACTATATATATATATATATACATACTAATTATTACTACTGCTACAAGTAGTGAGTGTTGCCCTGCCCTGCTGGGTGGCGGTAGAAGAAAGGACAAAGGAGGAGTATAGTATGTGTGTCAATTCTATTTTGATTTGATTGCTTTTTGCTAACCCATTATATACATACATACATACATACAGTGTCTGAAATTCCAGTTCTGCTGTATGTATTCATTCTGTTAATGATTCGATTCTGCGAGTGGAAATCGACTCGATCGAGATAGATTTGGCAATGTTGGATATAATCCACGCAAGGATTTTTATATTATCGTTATTTATTTTATTTTATTTTATTTTTGATAAAGTTTATCTTGTTAAATTACATAAATATTAAGAAATTTAGTAAGATTATTCTTACGTATTAATAATATTATAATTAATCTACTCATTGCCATTTCTATACATACATGTGTTATGAGTTAAAATGACCGGGGCGGGGGTGTGTTATTCCACTGGTTTCCTCATAACTTTCTCTATTTGTTACTGTACCTTATAAATTTTTTAATCAAATGATAATAAAAAACACTTGTTTAGGAGAATTTAGATTAATAAAATGATATCTTTCTAATTTAAGTAAAATTGAAGAGTATTTGATATAGTGTATGATTATTTTTTATAAAATAGAAAAAAAATGATACTTTAAGTAATGAAGAATGTACTATTTATTTTTTAATTAAATCTAAATTTGGGAATTTAGCAAAAATATCCAAAAAGAAAAAATAATTTTGGAGTCCCGTAACGAATTTTGATATTTGTTAAAAAAAATCTAAAATATAATAATCAAGATATAATCTGATAATATATCACAAATAAGATTTTAGCTGTCTATTCGCAGCCATGATTAATTTTCCGCAATTCTCTTTTCTTGTTAGCTTGAAATTGAAATCATCAGACATTATAGTCGACTAAATTATATAAGGCTTCTCGCCATTCTTATACATGTACTGTTCCTCTGTCCATGTATACATTTTTGTATTCATCCACTATTTGACACCCATCTGTCTGTCAATCCTCCTATAGTATGCGTCGAATTTCTTCTTAAAAAATTAATTAATTTTTTATACAGGTATTATCCGTTTTCCATGTAACTTAATCTTTCCATGGTAACAACCTACTTTATCCATGTTACTTGGTTTTCTTGAAATTAATTGTTCATGAAAATAGTGTTTTTTTTTCCATGGAAATAGTTTTTCTTTTTTTTTTTTTCATACTACTTGATTTCTTGAAAATATTTTTTCATGGTAACATAGGCTCCTATTCTACCTCCTTTATTTTATTCCAAATTATTAGTTTTTTTGTTTTTAATAAATCATTCAGTCGAGTAGTCTTTAAGGAGTTGATCACCAATAAAATGCCTATACACCTCCACTACTTGATGTGTCCGGATGATTAATTTTAGGTAATAGCACTATCTATACATATATTTATATCTTGAAGGGCCTAAAACTAATATCTGATATCAAAGTCGGTGCATACCCAAATATTCTTGGTTTAACATGATGTTGATCGTTCCATGAAGGGACACTGCGGTGGGATGTCCTTTGTCTATCCACAGCAGATGATGACAAATTATAACAGTTGGCCTATCAAGGTGGAGGTCATAATGGAAGTCTATGAGTATGGAATGCTATCGAATTGATGAAAGACATCATTGTTGAGGTAAGAAAGAATAAAAGAACAAAAGCTCTTCTTCTCCGGTTGTTTCCGGAAGACCTACTATTGCAAGTCACAAAAGAAAGAATACATAGGGGTTTTGGGATTACTTCAAAACCAAATTTGTTGAAGTTGAATGTGTCAAGATGACAGGTTTGTAGACACTGAAAAGTAAATTCAATTGAATACAGATGGAGGGAAATGCTCTAAAAAGTATGTGGGGAAGATAAGTGGGATGTGCATAAAGTACTCCAGTCTAGTAGCAACATTAGACGATGCAACCATAGTAAATAAATTGTTTAATATTGTTCCTGTTGATGATGATTTCAACAATAAAAAGTAAAATTTGAAAATATATTTCAAATTTGAACAGTAGAGCTTGGAACCATAAATTCTCAAGCGATGAACAAAAAGTTGAAGAAAATGTACAATAACACTAAATAAAGATGACCCCATCTCATTAGAATTTTTTCTGATTGAAGATTCTCGCTCTTTCTGTTAGGAGCTGCTAATAGACATATCAAACTAAACCGCTCAGAACCACTTCCACGTTGGTTACTGATCTGAACCGTCCCAAAACCACTTCCATGTCGGTTACTAATCTGAACCTTCCAAAAACCGCTTTTACGTCCGTTACCTTTGTAACCGACCCCCCAAGGCCCAAGCTCAGGATGATTTTACTATCTGCAAGACCAACCATCATGTTGGTTGGGCCCCAACCATCATTGCAATCGAATGGATCTGGCCTACCATTAGACCATCACTGGACCACCATTGGCCCACCATTAGACCCATCCATTCATCATTCCTAGACTCGAACCCTAATCTTATTTTTGTACTCAACAACTTGCCTCCTTCTCCTCTGACTCTCAAACGTCACTCTTAATCGACGCAAGAAGTGACGGTTGGGGTTTGCAACAGCAACAATACAATCATTATGTTGTTTCAGTCAAATCACAATGGTTGTAAAAAACCCTTTTCCACCGCCAAAAGTTATTCTTCTTCACCCACTAAACTTTCATCATCTTTCTTTCATTCTCTTCTCAAAACTTCATTGCCATGGTGAATCAATATGTTCTTGCTTTTCCATTTGATGGTTCTGTCCTCAAAACCTCATTCGTTTCTTCTCGAGTTCTCACCTTACCATTCGTCCATACTTTACCACCACTGAGGATGCATCCTGGATGCGGAAGATTCTTGAACAAGGAACCCCCTTTCGCCATCCGAAATGCTGCTTTAATCCCAACTCGCCTTCTTGATTTAATCAAAACCCATCTTACTAACCCCAAAGAAACCTTTCGAACCTGGCATTCCATGGTATTACCCCACTTCCAGGAACAATGGAAGCGTCAAGAAATTGACAAGGCCATAATTTTCTCCACCAAGGCACTTAACCTTCGTGACAAAGTCCTGCTGGTTATGGCAGCTTTCTGAAACCAAGAAATTGGTGTTTTCCTTCTTCTTTCAGGTCCTCTGAGCCCAACGCTAATGGATGTAGCAATGATTGCTCATCTCCCAATCGTGGGTGAAGACCCGATTGTCGGCTCCCTCGACATCCAGGAGCCTGCTTCAGACCATATTGGTTGGTCATTGTCCAACTTGCAAGACAAAGGATGGACGAATTTCATAACCGACCACCAAAGAGCATACGACACCCCTGTATCCGCCCAAGAGCACACCGCTTTTATTTTATTTTGGTTGTGCAGGTACGTCATCCTGTCCTCTTCTCATTTGGACTTGGCTATCCACATCGCTTCTAGTCGGTTCTTTCACTCGGGACCCTTCTTCTTGCTAACCTTTTTGAGGGTCTGTCTCAAGTCAGTGCCTGACTTTCTGATGCCAACAAACTAGACACAGCCGCCTCGGGTTCTTTTTGGTTCCTCGAGCTTTGGCTCCGCCTATACTTTCCAACCGCCTTCTATGGCCGTCCATCCATAAACCTAGGACCCGAATGTTCGCTTGGCCTGACTCTTGCTACCATGTCCCCAAAATGACCCAACCTGAAACCTTCCGACCCAATCATCCAATAAATAATTTCTGATAGCCGAAGCAACTCCCGCTTTTATATTTATGAAAGCCTTGTACAATATGCTACCAAATGTTTTTGGCCTTATCCAACTTTCGCTTATTATGTCTCTTTCTCTCCCCTCCAAATTTTCTCAATTTGGAGGGGAAACAAAATACGTTTATTTTATTTCCCCTCTTTTCTCTTTAAGTCCCTTTAAAAAAGTTAAGCTAAACAAGATAATTTTAATTTTTGGCAAAATTGCCCATAAATTTGTTGTAGTTTCAAAACTCAACGTAAATCCCTCATTTACTTTAAAAATTGTGTGGCGCCTCCTTAGAATTTAAAAAACGTTGCATGAAACCCCATTGTGATTTCGAAACTCAGTATAAATCCCACTTTTACTTCAAAAATTGCATGGCGTCCCTTTATACTTTAAAAAATGTTGCGTGAAACCCCTCCACCATGCAAAATATATAGATATGAAATCATTTTCTCATCACACAAGTGAAGTTTCATGGCGGTGGGGTTTTATGCAATATTTTTGAATGTATAAGGGAGTGGTATGCAATTTTTAAAGTATATGAAGATTTTACGCTAAATTTTGAAATCATAGGAGTTATGAGCAATTTTACCTTAATTTTTTCCATCCCCCAGTTCCCTTCAAATCAAACAAACAATAAATAACCTAAAGCATTTATCTTTAATAAATTCATATGCGGATTAGACAAGCCTTCCTTCAATTTTACTTTGATTTCATGATAAGAGTTACTTCATTTAGTTTTAAAGAATGTCATGGGTCATCATGTAAACCAGAAGGTCGTTGAGGGCCTAATTCATTTATCATATTATAAATGAAGATATTTGGTTTGTAAGTGATGATAAGGGTAATGCAGATATTGACCATAAAAAAGTCATAAATAGATTGATAAAATACCTTCAATGTACAAAGAACTTAATGGTCATGTACAAACAAATTAGATTTATTCTTACTTGAGACTATCCC